TGTATATATACGGCAGCAGAGGCAGGTATATGTGTCTATATACGGCATCAGAGGCAGGTATATGCGTGTACGCGGCAGTGCGACGGTGCGCGTGTGCGAACAGGTGGTGGTCACAGGCACTTGGAACGTCTCAATAAAAATAAATAATGGTAAATAAACACGAAATGTATTTACTACCAAAGTCTTAATGTTTCTCTACTCTATTTCACCTATTATTGCCGCTAATTACTCGTGAATGCCGGTCAAATGATCATCTGCGACACACAAGTACACCGCACGCCCGCGCTGTGCACAAACAACATGAATAAGAGAACTGAATACTCTCTTATCTGAATACTGAATATGAATACTGGATAGACAGATGATCATTTGACCGGCATTTACGGGTAATTATCGGCAATAATAGGCGAAATAGAGTAGAGAAACATTTAATTAAGACTTTGGTAGTAAATACATTTCGTGTTCATTTACCATTATTTATTGAGACGTTCCAAGTGCCTGTGGTGGTGGTGGTGGTGAGCAGATACTGGATATTAGTGTTCAGATCACTTCCACCACTGACCCGAACGTAACGGAGCATAGCGACAGCAGGTCATAACGGTACGTCAGTTGGTAACGGTACATAGCGGTGCAGCACGACAGGTAGCAGTAGGTAACGGTACATAGCGGTGCATCACGACAGGTAGCAGTAGGTAACGGCACATAGCGGTGCATCACGACAGGTAGCAGTAGGTAACGGTGCATAGCGCTGCAGCACGACAGGTAGCAGTAGGTAACGGTACATATCGCTGCATCACGACAGATAGCAGTAGGTAACGGTACATAGCGGTGTATCACGGCAGGTAGCAGTAGGTAACGGTACATAGCGGTGCATCACGACAGGTAGCAGTAGGTAACGGTACATAGCGGTGCATCACGACAGGTAGCAGTAGGTAACGGTACATAGCGGTGCATCACGACAGGTAGCAGTAGGGAACGGTACATAGCGGTGCATTGAGTCAGGTAGCAGCAGGTAACGGTACATAGCGATGCACCACGACAGGTAGCAGTAGGTAACGGTACATAGCGGTGCAACACGACAGGTAGCAGTAGGTAACGGAACATAGCTGTGCATCACGACAGGTCG